CTCTGATAATGCTAACATGCTAACAAAAATCTTAGGTCTGCTGATGCTAACCAGCTAAACAAAAATCTTAGCTCTGCTAATGCTAACCTGCTAAACAAGATTCTTAGCTCTGATAATGCTAACATGCTAAAAATGAATCTGCTAAATGAAAAGCTACGTAGTTCTGCTATTAGCAGATTAGTGGAACTGTACCCACTGGCTACAGGACTTTTATTTTGAAGAGTGTTTGAAGGTTAAATCCACTTCCTGTTTGGATGTAGAAGCTTCTCTTGAAACTAAAAAATAAATCTACAGGATGTGGTTTTATAAAAGTCATATTTAAATTAATGTTTTCAGTTTGTTTGTGTTTGCAGCGAAGCGGGAGCTGGTCTCGGTGGTCTCAGAGATCCTGATGTATGTCCTGATCGTGGTCCTGCAGCTCTGGCTCATCGTAGTCCTGGTTTATTGTTACAGGAAGATTTGGGACGAACACGAAGCTCGAGAGGAGAAGAAAGCTCAGAAAGAGTAAAGTTTTACTCCTGAAGTTATTTTTAAAACTTGATTTCTTTAAACTGGTCTCGTTATTTGTTGTTTTTGTTTTTATTTTCAGACTCTTGCAGCTGAAGGACAACATCCCCTGACTTCAGTTCTTACAGGATGTTCTCACTTGAAGACAAAGCTTAGATTTAAAATCAGGTTTTCTTTTTCTTTTATTTGGATGTTCATCAAATCAGATGCTTGTTTTTTGAGGAAGTCAAGTTTTAGTGTTGAAATAAAAACTGTTGGAAAGTTTTCTCTAAATATAAATCTGTGCTTTCAGATTTTCAAGGGATTCTTTTATTAATTGTTTTTAAAATGTCATAAATGTGCATGTTTCTTTTTTTTTGTAATATTTGAGAGTTTAAAAAGCCAAATGTGGCTTTTTAAGTGTTGGACAGTTCGTTTAGAACTGTCCCAAGTGTGTTCTCAGAGGCTTGTCCCTCTGTTTCAGAACATGACGACATATTTGAATATGTGTCTGAATCCATTCTGCAATTAAATGTATTATTTTATTTAATAGTCGTT